TGACGAGGAACCCACTTTGAGAGTGAACCCACCTCAAAGTGGGTTCCTCGTCATCTAATTTGAATTCATCACGGCGATTAATCGAGGTTGTGTAAGCCTAAATGTTTATCTTTGTTATTCCATGTATAACTTTTTAAGTATGTTCTCTCACCAATCCACTACCATAAACCAATCATACCGTGAAACTATCTTCAAACTACGTAACCTGAATATAGTACCTGATGATGACAAAACCTTGTCGAAACGTTGTACATTTGCTGTTATGTTAAACTTATATTAAAGTTTTTCTTCATTAACCATTCAAGCCGTCTCCAGCCATTACAAATGATATACAGTTTGTAAGGCTATTATACAATAAACAAATCAAATTAAAACGTGTTGATAGTATGTCAAGTCTCCCAATTTTCTCTGGTTCTATAGTTGTGAAGGAGTTATATTGTAACTTAATGTTTATAATAATTTCCCCTGGTTCCCTAGTACTGAAGGGGTTAATGTGTAAGCTACTGTTTATGATAGTTTTCCCTGTTTCCCTAGTACTGAAGGGGTTAATTTGTAACCTAATGTTTATTATATTTTTCCCTAGTGGTGAAGGAGTTAACTTGTAAGCTAATTTTTATTATATTTTTCCATGGTTCCCTAGTGGTGAAGGAGTGAACTTGTAAGCTAATTTTTATTATATTTTTCCATGGTTCGCTAGTTGTGAAGGAGTGAACTTGTAAGCTAATCTTTATTATATTTTTCCATGGTTCCCTAGTGGTGAAGGAGTGAACTTGTAAGAAAATGTTTATTATATTTTTCCCTAGTGGTGAGGGAGTGAACTTGTAAGCTAATGTTTATGATTGTAAAGAAGAAAATAATGCAGTTTCCATAATATAAATGCAATATTTTACATCTTCTGAATTTCTTTTACCCAAGTTTTTTTTGTTGCACTGATTCAAAGAATCAGTTTTCTGTTGTCAATAGATTCTTAAATGTAGGTCATTTTATTTCTAAACCTCATTCATTATGTATGAAGTGTGAATTAAAAAAAAAACAACTGATTAAACACTATGAAACAGATTTTCTCCCATTCCTAACTGTTATTAATATAACATTTTAGTAGTAAACTAGGTATTGATAGTTACAAACCAACAAATAGGTTAGAGTTATTTATTAAACTAGCTTATAAATTTTATGGTTTAAATGGCAAATGCTGGTGAAATATTGAAAAACGAATAGGAAAACTGTATTAAAAACCAAACTAAATACAGATTTGTTTCCCATATTTCAAGCTACAATGAAGAAATTAAGAAGAATGTGGAAAACAAAAACATCTATAATTAACTTGTTTTAGGCCTATTAGTTTATAAATCATTAAGTATGGTAGTACTTAATAGTAGGGATTGTGATGAAAGAAATGGTGGCCATAAAAAATCACCTGAATGTTAGCAATGATTATTTCACAGTACTGGTTGAGCAAAACTAAAGCTTATTGTACTTCTAACGTCACCTAAGTTGCTATATACGTGTTTATTGAGTGAATCAAAATTTCAGTATTTCAACACAGATTTTCATCTAAGTGACTTTTCCAAACAAGCGTACAGAAAAAATGATGAACCTTATCCCTCTTCTGTCTGGGGTCCCAATGATTCCTTTCGTGTACCAAAGAGAATATTATTATGTATATAAAATGGATGATGTGCTACTTTGGGTGTATAATTAGATTTGAGGGTAGGTTAGTAGAGATTCTGATGAGTAATCGAATCACGTATATGTGTGTGACCCATATTTGATATTGTTGGTGCACAAAAATACAGCTAATAAAAAGGAAAAAACAAGAATAATAAAAAAAATTAAAATTTTATAAAGACAAGTAGGAATTGATATGTACATAACCTAGTTAACTATAATAACATAGAAAGTTTTAATGCTACAAAAACTGAGCTACTTAATAACTTGTGTTCCTACTTTGGTTCAGACTAACATAATTACAGTGATTGTGAAAGTAGGTACAATATTTTCTAAACTAAGTAACTCGAGTGTTTGTAGTTTTGACTTTCTTGTTTCAATACTTTTTTGTAGCATTAAAACTTTCTATATTACTATAGCTAGTTAGGTTATGTATATATCGATCCCTAATTATCTTTATAGAACTTAAAAATATCTTATTGTACTTGTTGTCTTAAGTGGACTTCAACAAATATGAAAATTATTCTGTAACATCAAACCAATGTCAAAGTAAGACTGTTTTAACATTCAGAATAACATCAAACCAACGTCAAAGTAAGACTGTTTTAACATTCAGAATAACATCAAACCAACGTCAAAGTAAGACTGTTTTAACATTCAGAATAACATCAAACCAATGTCAAAGTAACACTGTTTTAGCATTCAGAATAACATCAAACCAATGTCAAAGTAAGACTGTTTTAACATTCAGAATAACATAAAACCAATGTCAAAGTAAGATTGTTTTAACATTCAGCATAACATCAAACCAACGTCAAAGTAACACTGTTTTAACATTCAGAATAACATCAAACCAATGTCAAAGTAACACTGTTTTAGCATTCAGAATAACATTAAACCAACGTTGAAGTAAGACTGTTTTAACATTCAGAATAACATTAAACCAACGTTGAAGTAAGACTGTTTTAACATTCAGAATAACATTAAACCAACGTTGAAGTAAGACTGTTTTAACATTCAGAATAACATCAAACCAATGTCAAAATAACACTGTTTTAGCATTCAGAATAACATCAAACCAACGTCGAAGTAACTGTTTTAGCATTCAGAATAACATCAAACCAACGTCGAAGTAACTGTTTTAGCATTCAGAATAACATCAAACCAACGTCGAATTAACTGTTTTAGCATTCAGTATAACATCAAACCAACGTCGAATTAACTGTTTTAGCATTC